GATCACAAACGAGTCTAGAGTCAAATCCCAAGTCCTCAAAGAGTTAAAGTTAATGAGATCATTAAGTGACTAATTAAATGATGATTGTGCATTAGTGTTGAACACCTGCTGTTATTGAGAATTACGAGGATCAGATGTTGATGTTTTATTGGTTAAAATGATGTCACCATCATGGAGATCAGTGTTTGCTTTAGTTGTGATCTTGACCCTTTTACAAATGCAGAGCAAATTGCATTTAAGCAATTACAGTATTGCTGTACAGCAGACATTTGATCATTTGCACATTAACAGCTTTAAAGTTTGAAGCAGCTAAAATGTTCTGCTTTCAACTCGCTTGAGTGAATATCGGGAAGGTGTCTCTTTATGGTTTACAGACTGACATTCAGCTCTTACAGAACAGAAAAAAAGTGATATTAAACAAATGCCACCATGATGCTTAAATTTTGAAAAAGTGAGCAAATCCAGTGCTCAGGCTTTTAGGCATGAACACTTATCATATGATCCTCAACAGTGGTGACAATAATTATTCATGCTGCAGTGCATGATGGGAGTTTTTACTATGGTGTTACCCAGCATGCATTGCAGCATGAAGCATTTTGTTGATTGTCACCATTGTTGAGATTCATATGCTGGTTCTTGATGTCTGTGTGTGTCTTTTTTACACTGTAGATCACTTAATTAAATGTATATCATAGACTCAAGTCAATTCGATATACTTATTAGCGTAATACTTCCGTTGCATGTTATAGTTTAACAACGTTAGTTATTCAAAATGTAACCATATTAAATAAAAAAAAAATTGAAGAAAAGCTAGCTTTGCTTTGAACAGGTTGGCCCCTGATAAATTTCTTAGCATTTGATAACAACAAACAGCTGTTCATTGCAAAGCATTTGTCTCACTGCTTTCCAACACCACATGCATTACTGTAAGAAGAGTATTAAGTCAAGAAGTCAAGAGCCCAACTAAAGCAAACACTGATCTGCATGATGGTGGCATCATTTTAACCAATAAAACATCAACATCTGATCCTCTGTAATTCTCAATAACAGCAGGTGT